GTAGTAACTTCATCAAGAGCTTGACCGTTTCCCTTCTCAAAACTGAGTAGTTTCTTCTTCGACGGTGGCTTCTTCATGTGGAACGTCTTCAGCAGCATCATTTGTTCTGTTTTCCACTTCGTCCCAACTGAAATGTCCTGGACTGTGATAACACCAAAGCCTGTTGGCATGCACCACTTTTGGCTTACCTCGCCGACCACATTTTATCCGGAAAGTCACGTCTGAGAGACAATCCACTATGTCATATGGGCCTTCCCATGGAGAAGACAACTTCGGAGACTTCCCTTTGGTCTTCCTGGGATTATACAACCATACCTTGTCTCCAGGTACAAAGCTGACTTCAGTAGATCTCTTATCATAAGTTAACTTCATCGAATCAGCAGACGTTTTCGAGTTTGAACGCACTTGATGGTGGATATCATCCATCCTTTCCGATAACACTTTCACAAACTCTGACACATTCTCAGGCAACTCCTCATAAGGTGGGCATCCCTTATGCTTAAGTCCCCTTTTAGCACTACATGTACTGCATGTTCTGCACCATTCTTCCACATCTCGTCTCATACCTATCCAGTAAATTTTTTGTCGTAGGTGACTCAATGTCTTCTTGATTCCGAGATGTCCTCCTGTTAAATTATCATGGGATTGATGCAGCACGACTTCCCGTAACTTCCTCAGTATGACTGTTTGCCAAGTCGTAACTTTCCCATCGGTAGTTTCCAATCTCCGTACAAGAATACCATCTGCAAGCTTTAACTGGTCCCATTGCACCCAATAGTTCTTTGTCACAGGGCTTAGACTAGACACCTTCTCCAAAGCAGGGCGCACAACACTTGCTTTTAGAAAATCAATCATTGGCTTCAAATCTTGTTCTTTCTCCTGTTCTGCTTTGATATCCATATTTGGTTTCACTTCACCATCATCAACTTCTTCAGTCGGCTTGACTTCAGCTTGATGGAACCTAATTTGTTCAACCTCTCTTTTAACAGTTACCGGAACTTGGCCTTTGTTGTTCCCAAACGTCATTTTATCAAAATCAATTACATACTTCCTCGGTAGTAGATAGTACAATCCTAATATGCATTCGTCTTCAATGTCAGCCAAGTGTACTTTGTGTCTATCCTTTATGCCCATGAGCTCAATAGTCACCCACACTGGTCCCCACAATCTTGTAGAATGTCCTGTCCCACCACAAAGCTTCTCTATGGCTTTTGGTACTCCTTCGTGATTTAACACCTTGATGCTCACAAGGGTTTGCTGAAACGCAGAGTCTATGACAAAGTTGCACCTTTGGCCATCCAGCTTTCCTGTCACATAGACACTGTGTGTGCTTGGCATTTTAGACCTAGCTGTTGGGGCTTTCAAGAGGGGGGTGGATGGGCGTCGCTCTACACCAACCACTACTGGTCTCCTTGAAGCCGACTTGTTGGTAATATTCCTCCTACATTGGCTCT